AGAAGACGCGACAAACCTGTGTGCGTTAGGATATGCATCCTTAAATTGCTCCTATCTGCAAAGCTTTTCCCACAATGGGCACAACCGAAGGGACGTTGGCCAGTGTGTGAGCGTAGATGGCCCTAAAATAGACTTATTTAAGGTTAAACCAAGCCATTTGCCAATTCTCAACTTACTTGTAACAACCACAGCCTGGAAAACACTTTCCCACAAATTTCGCATTTATGGCTAGCCTTATGGGTGAGAATGTGCATACTGAAACAAAACTTTTTCTTTAGAGAGACTTAGATCTTAACTCTTAAACAAGCGTCAGCCCTAATTGGCCGCAATCCCAGCAGCTGATATTCACACTGGTTGCGCAAGCGTGTTATCCTATTACACGACGTTCCAGGTGCATCCGAAGGTGAGCAGTTCACAGGCGAAGGAGACGAAAGTGCTTACCTCAATGCTGGCATACTGACGTAAACCCTGTCGCAATGGGGGCATTGCTTGGCGTGTTCGCTATCCAGGGGCCGATGAGTCTGAACGGATAAACTTTTTTTTTTGAATCTCTCCCTTGTAGGCGATGTCTGGGTTAGAGTGCATACCTGCTTATGTCGGCTTAGATTGCTAGTCGTTGCATAGGATTTGCCACATTGGTCGCAAACACAGCGAGAGTTGGAAAACCTTGAAAAAACGCTGATATTTAACTTCCTACATCTATTCTGGAACGTTTGTATAGCGAGAAACAAAATTGAATTTATCTGGATTTAAGGAAACTTATAAAAGAAACTTTTCTTGCCATGTTATGAGTTTTTGACCTAAATGTCCGATTTTCTAAAAAATTCATGGTTTACAAACTTTAATCTGAATTATTAAGACAAGTTTGAAAAAATTGGAAACAGAAATATTTAAATTTATTGTGAAAAATCTTAGTATTTTCATATCCTAGGATTTTTTCGCATTTGACTTTTCGGAGAAATTTTTAGATTCATTGCATGAAGAAATGAGGGACAAACGAGAATATAGCTGAAATGATAAAATAAAGGAATTTTGGAATTTTTGGGTCTTCATCGTAGCTATGCAAGACCAATAACACACAGAATGAAACAAACTTCGCTTACTTTCTTGTGTTCTTCGTCCGTCCATCAGTCACTTCAAGTGCATCGAGAGTATAAGATGTTAGGTCCGAATCAGGAGTACTTGAGACCTGAGAAAGGATTGGTTTACGTTTGGCAAAATTTGCTTAATCTTTTCTTTTCCTATAATTGTTAAGAAGGCAATTTGGAGTACTATGCGGTGGAATTTTAGC